TTAACTGCCTGAGACCTTTCCAAACCTCAGCTATGGCAGGACAGGTTTGACCTGAGTGACTGTATCTTTTGTTCACTTGTGGGCCTCAGAACTGGGCCTCAGATACAAAATTAGCCACAATTAGCAACCCTTGTGCAGTTAATTTGCATAAAGCCTGTGAACCAATTTGCTTTTTAGGGAGAGGAAGTCTCCAAAAATGTCCTTCCAAGCTGTCTGAATCTTTCAGGCATCTTATAATTAAGGAGTAAAACTCAGGGTCTGTAATACCTGGACTAATTACTTTTTAGCAACAGATTTCCAGAAGCGGAGGCATCAGGCGCACATTGGTATCAGACTTCTGAAAACTTGTGTCTCAGGTCCTGAGCAATTAATACTCTGGCAAGGAGCTCTCTTGAAAACTTAGTCCACTTGCACTGTCGGTTAACTTTTGTGCTCACCATTAAAAGATTAAAGTCTACCAGTGGCTGCCACTGGTTCTTGGTAAACCAGAGAGAAAAGCAAAGGGACATATAGGGCGTTTGTACACATTTGCGCCGCAGTACTGGGTACTTTTAAAGTTGTATAAGTGACAAAATGTGCGCCAGTGCTGAGAAAATGGCGGCAGTGCACTTTTGAACTAAAATACATCGAAGGTGTCTTAGTGCAAAAGTGCGCCGCCACCATTTTCTGCACACTGACACGCATTTCGCAGCTTACACAACTGCACATGATGCAGCGCAGTGTGCATCAGCTCACATGCGGAGCAGACTCAATTAATCGAGTCTGCTCAGACCTGCTGCATCTCTGGCGCATCACGGGATGAAAAGGTATGTGTATAAATGCCCATAGAAGCCTATAGTGATCATGGAAAACAATGGGATGTGGGGGAGTTACTCAAAGGAAGTGCATCTGTGTTTCTCAGGACAGGATGTCTAGAAGCCAGTCCTAGCTGAGCAGACATTGTTTCTGGGTGACAGCAGCTGTATTTTCTCAGTAGGCAGATAACGTGACTCCAAACGTGTCGCCAGAGCAGACTTTTGTTATTTATGTGTTTAAAGAGCTTTTGGGGAGTGGGGGTTTGAAGAGGAGACCGTCCCAGGATGGCTTCTGCTGCCAATTAGACATCAGAGATAAGAATGATTTGCATTGTTTCACAACGTAACCATTGAGGAGCAATGGAAAAAATATTGTTTGGCTAATATCAGCTGTGCTTGTTTATAGTACTACATGTGGTTTAAAAAATGCTCTGTCATTCCTTCTGCTGCAGAAGCTGAGGCAGAACAAGTCTTCACTGTTCCAGTTCATTTCTGTGATGAAAACAGGAAGCTAAGTGCGCATTACCCCTAGGAAAGCAGACTTCTCCAAAGGTTAACTCCAGTCTTGCCCTCTTCCTCCTTCTGCTTCCCACCTGAATTCATCATCTCTTGTATCATGAACCAACCCCCTCTTTACCTTTAGACCATCAGGACCAGGTCTTCCAGGAAATCCCTTCCAGCCAGGACGACCCTGAAATATAAAAATAATGATTAGTGCAAAGGGTGAATATTAATATCCTTACTCCCACCTGCTGCTGATGCCCTCGACCTGTTGCAACTTGCAAACCATAGTCCCTCAAATAATCCAGCACACCAGAGACCCTGGCAGCCCTACGACACTGTTGTGGAGTGGAACTACTCGCAGCGGGAACAGGTTGGGTCCCAGGTTTAGATAGCTACTGTGTGACTAAGGAAGTCTCTGCTTCTCCATTAGAAGAAGGGCGCTAATGCGGGAGCTTTATCACAGCAGTGCTTCATGGAAACCAGCTGGGATTTGGATCATGGGCTTCTGGACAAAAGTACGCATTGAAGGCAGCAAAGAGTTGATCATCAGAAACTCCTCCTTTGCAGCATTACATCATTGCTGGGTAGCACAAGATATTTATTTTCAGGGCCCTGGGGATTTGAACCCAGGCCACTAGTGTTTGTAGACAGAAGCTTAAACCATGGCACCACCAGACTATTAGCCAGATCTCACCACTTATGTGGCCTGGACCCTCCCATAAGGTTTCTACTAGTGAATCAGATGACCTGCGTGGACCAATGAGAGCCACAAGCCCTTGATTGGAAGGCTATAAAAACTTTCCACTTCCTGCAGTGGATTTTCCAAACTCAGCACCACTTGACCTTGGCTTTGGTTAATCCTGTTTTTGTCTTAGACCTTCAGGCCTTGGTCATTTGCTTTGTTCTGACCATAAACCTGCCCTGAGCCTCAGCTCAGTGTCTGAGAACTCAGACCGATACCTGGTTTTGGTCTCAGCTGCTTTGATCGTAAGGAACAGGCCTAGGCACACTGGCCTCAAGCTTCAGCAAGCAAAATTTAAGTTGGCAATTAGGAGAAAATTTCTGACTATAAGCATGGTCAACCTAGAAAAACTGGAATCTCTGTACTTGGAAGCTTTCAAGAGCAGGTTAGACAGACACTTGGCTCGGATGGTTTAGTCAGGGATGATTCTGTGTTGAGCAGGGGCAGGACTAGGGGACCTCATGGGGTCCTTTCCAGCCCTACTTTCCTATGATCCTACTCCCACACCAGTAAACTCTCAACTCAGACCCTAGTGTGAACCACTAGGTTTTGGTAAATTCTCGTACTTATCTTGGGAGGGAGTGAGAGAGAGAAAGAAAAGGGATATAGCATGCCTTGCTGCTTCTACTCTGCAAAGTTCTCATACGGTGGGTCAGATGAAGAGCACTGTTCACTCTGTTGTCAATACTTTCATGTTTCTTGATCTTTTTAAATGACAAGCATAGACCTTTTTTCAAATCAGGGTAGCCAACACGGGGGTTAATTATGGAGAAAGGACAGTTGTAGAATTTGGATCTGGATCCAAACGATTCCATTGTCAGAGGATATTTAGATTCATGGCTTCCATCTGAGCCCACTGTTAGTTCAATATTACAGTGGTATAAAGTAGTCTCACCAGTGCCCAATGGAAGCCTCTCCACTGACTTCCTGGGAAGAAAAAGGTTCAAGTCCTTCATTGTTATTTCAGCCTCAAACGCTTGATGAGGCAGACGGGGCTATTAGTAACGGACTAGAACTCTTGAGACTCGTGAAACCTACCTCTGGACCAGGGACCCCTGGTGGTCCTAAGGGTCCTTCATCACCCTGGAGGGGAAAAAATGAAATTAGTGACAAAGGTTTGTAGATCTACTGAGTGCTAGAAATGAACCAAATCTAGAAAGCATTCCCTGTGATTGGTATTTACTGGCTTGTCATCACCTTTTAACCGCTCATTCTCAGCAGAATTTTACCACAGTGCTCTTATTTTTTTGCAACTGCATCCCCACTGAGATTCCCCATCTCCTTTCAGTCTGGCAGGGTCCTTCTGATCTAACTATTACAGAGAGATGTCCTGGTCTCAGGAAAAACTCAAAACTGATGACCAACGGCATCTTGACATTTTTAATAGAAATCAATGGCAGTTTGGTGGGTTTATCGACAGTAGAAGTGAGCCACAGGATATCTGTGATTGCTTACAGGGTCTTGCATGGCTTGGTTAGGCAGAGGATATAAGGTTTGGAGAGTTCCTTGCTCTCTTGTTGCCAACCCCTTCCCTTGGAAGAGGTATTACCAGGCTTCTCAGAGAGTTAGCTCCTATCAAACAGGGCAACATGCTGAGGTTTTTAATTTTCTTTCAGATATGATTCAAAGGCATCTAATACTGAGATACCTTAAGGGCTTACATGACAATTGGACTAGGTCTTGCAGTTTGGTCTGTTATCAGTTTCTGCGCCTATAGGGTCAGCTCTAAAATTTCTAAGAGATTTTCAGCTAAGTTGCATAATGATAATCTCAAGGGTCTAGCCTGACAGGGAGAAATGGAAAGGTGGTTTTGAGTTGGATCAATAAGACCACTGAAAAAGGGATTGGAAGCTATGAAGATCAGAGTTCTCGTACAGGTTCTGACAGTGATTCCCTGTGTGACCTTGGGTACCTGTACGGCAAGGGAAGATGTAATCTTGCCCCTTATTTAGCAGAGGTAACAAACAGCAATGATGAGATGGCAGCGTGGGCTTCAGCAATCCAAGTAAACACCTTGGGGTTTGCAATGGCACGTCTAGCTTAGACTGGAGCCCATGCCACTGCATCTTCACTGCTCCTGTTAACCAAGCTAACGAGGTGCAAACTAGATTAAGGTAGGCCCAGCCATGCCGCAATCACACCTTTTTCTGTAGTACACACACACTCCTTAATTTCTCTACATCTTAATTTCGCCAGATGTAGGAGAGGATTATTATATCCATTTTATCTCATACAGAACCTAGGCAGACAAACTAGTTAGTTTTTTAATTAAAAAGAAAAAAAAGTCATTAAATTAAAAAGCATTAAATGCTTGCTATTACAAAATGCCCTCGGGTCACACACTGAACTAGCATTTGTTGCACAGTGCTACAAGGCTCCCAGCAGACCAATAAAAAAATGGGCCTGCCTCCCCATTTACCCTGGTGACATCAAGTGACTTATGCAGGTGTAAGCAGGAGGAGAATCGGGTCCCACTTTCTCTTAAAACGTTTCCTTATCAAGGACACCAAAAGATATAGTGGTCCCTTCCCCTTTCCCCGCATCACTTTTACAGGTCTGGAATTGAGTGCTAAATTGCAGAATCATGCGATAAGGAAAGGCAGCAAAATCAGGAAGTGCAGAAGCAAGGTCACTTAGATACCCTGGATAATAGTGGGACCAAGGTCGTTTAGTCTAAAAGATGTGGCTCTGCAGGGGAGGCCAGGGTTTCTCAGTGTCCCGGTAGAAAGTGTGCTTTTAAGCCATGCTTGAAGATGCAGGGAGTAGAAGAACTGTGGGGTTGGGCAGGAAAAGGGGATTTCCTGGTATAGGAGCCTGCCTGGGAGATGTAGAAAAAGGCAAGTAATAGAGACTAAACCTCTGTTGATGCCAGGAGGTCAGATGCATGGTTAGAGAAGACTATTCCTCCCGCCTCCCAATGCTGACTCAAGTGGATTTGTTATTTTGCAGGTTTCCGATTCCTGAATGTGACCAATTATTTGTTCCCTGGTGCAGCTATACTCAAGGGCTTGAATCTCCAGCACCAGGGAACAATTTGGTCAAAAAAAAATTAAAACAAAGGGAAAGGGTTTCTTGAAGCAAGAACAGCATGTATCCTTGGAAGCACCTCACACAGACACTCACCTCTTGGCCAGGCTGTCCTCTAGGCCCTGGTAAGCCTCGTGCACCAGGCTTCCCCTGCAACGGCCCCAAAAGAGAAGAATCTTAGGAAAGCGAAGCACAAGCCATTCTTGCCAACGTACACTGCCATCGGACAGCATCCAATGTCAACTGTGTTGCAGGGGGAACACAACACTCTTGGAAGGCCCTCAATCCAATAGACTGCTCAGCCAGAACAATCTGCAGGAATTTCTAGCCCCTTCCTTCCTTCCCACTCCTTTGTTTCCTTTAGTTATTTCCAATTCGGCACAAAACTTCAATCTAAGCTCAACTCACCTTTAGGCCTTCAGGGCCATTTTCTCCTGGTGGGCCAATATCCCCTGGAAAGCCCTAGAGAGAATGAGAAACAGTTGGTGGAGTTATACGAGAGGACTTTCTACACAAGCTGCCCATGCCAAGACTGAACTTGATGTTTAGCATTGGAATATTTGTTATTTGCTAACACAGTCTCTAAACAGACCGCTGTGAGGTATCTAGATGGATTGAAGCCACCAAAAATGCAAAATGCAGTAAGAAAGGAACATAGTAAAGGAGAATGAGTTTGATTGTTTTAATTCTTTATCAAGACCAAGGCAATTGATTCCCTACCAATCCCTTTGTAGGTCATCTTTTCAGAAAATTTACTATTGTAAGGACTTAATGTCGCCACACGGCTAAAATGGGCAATTTAGGCTTTAATTAATCTTTCGAGTCAGTGTGTCATTTCCTTTTTTCAGAGAAATAAATTGCACACCTCCAAAGACAAAGGGAAGCAGACTAGGAATTAGGAAAGGTGCTGACATGCTCATTAGCTGCTGTCTCCAACCGAACAGCGGCCCTTTCCCACCCACAGCTCATTCATTGATAAAACAAAGGAATCCATAGTTATTTCCAATAGAAACAAATAACAAGGATTATTAAGTGATATCACTGAACAGAGAGCCAATTCCAGCCCCAGAAAAATACCAGGATGCTGAGAGCACAAAAGCGACCCGCCAGCACTGCAACTGGTTCTCAAACACTTTATGAACGTGTCCTTATTGTTAATAGGAGTACAAACCACAACATATTAGGGAGGAGCTGATCTTTTATTTGAAGGTATTGTCTTAACAAACTTGTTGGTGGCATTTTCTGATTTGAATAGTGCTTACTGGAGGGGAAAAAAGTCCCAGACTACCCACACCATATGTCAGTACAATGAAGAGGGAAGGATGGAGACCCATTAGGGAAAGGTGATGAACCTGATGGACTTGCTGAGCAAAAAAGGGCCCCTGCTGTTTTTCTTGCTGCTACTAACCTCTTCCAACCCTGCCTCTACCACTCTCTAATCCACTCCTCTGGCCAATAAGGGGTGGGAGATATGAATTTTATTGAAGGGTTGAAGTCAGATAATGAACTTTCTACCCTAGAAAACAAGAGCAGGAGAACATCATAGCAAGCAGGAGGCGAAGTGACCTACCAACTCTGGGACACGGCTTGAGGAGAAAACAGCTATTCACAAGGATTATATCTATTGGGCAGAGGGCTGAAAGATTTTGATTCTGCTGCAGTCTCTGTCACCGACTTATCACAAGTCCTCGGGCAATTCCCTGCATTTCTGTAGGCCTCTGATCCTCCATTAATAAAATAAAAACAAAACCCTTCTTTGTGGGATTTAAAATCTTTGGAGGAAGAAAAGATGAAAGCAATTGTTTATTATTTAAGTAAATGTAGTGAAGTTCTTGGTTCAGGCTCAGCTAATGAAAGTTAATGCCAAAAAATACCGAAAATAAATGGATGGAGGTAATAATCCTGAGCAGACTTTTGCTGGGGAATTACCCTATTAGGAAAGCATTTGAAGGCCCATCTTCTAAATGGTGAGAAAAGGGGTTACAATAAATGAGTCTTATTTATTCCAGACTGAGGGGGAAAAAAAAGGCATACTGAGAATAGTGGTTCAAGATGGCTCCATCTTCTTTGTTATTATACATCACTTCAACTTAAGTTGGGATGTGGGAGGTACTTATTTTATAACACGTGGTGTTGACTTGTGAAACACCTGGGGAGGGGAGGAATGGTACTGTATGGGTGTAACTCCCAGAAGAAAGGTCTTGTCTGTAGTTGCAACACTATAACAAAGCAGCAAGAATTCATTTGTCTTTTCCTGGAAAAGGCTTTGGTCCTTCATTCACGTGAATTATTATTGGTTAAGTCAGAAGGAAAAAATATCGCCTAAACTACTCAGACCCATCTGAAGAGTCAAGTGGGGATCTTAAATGTAGCCTAAAGTCTATACATTTCTAAGATGAAGTTTGTAGGAGGCTTAATCACAGCTGCAAAGTAGACTGCAGCGATCAAATGATTGTTATGACAAAAGGAAAATGAGAAAGCGCTTCTTGGAAAGGTTGGGGAGCTAACGGAGGCTAACAAAAGAAAGATCAGAGCACAAACTGAAGGAACATACCTCAGGGCCAGGTGGTCCTGGAAACCCAACTGGACCTTTATCACCAACCCTTCCCTGGAAAGGCAGAAAATAATGGTGAATATGAGACAGCTGCTAGTTGCTGATGCTCTGTTCAGAATAACACCCACCCACCCACTCAAAGGTCTTTCTAGCTGGGCCCCGAACTTTAGAAGATGTCTAAAGCAGGTACTTACAAGGGAGCCCGGCTTCCCTCGTGATCCTGGTAACCCAGGCAAGCCCTGGCTGCCCTGGGAAAGAGAGAATATATTTCAGTAAAAATACAAAGCAGCTACAATACATTGACTAAAGCCCACCCCCTTCTTCATCCCGAGCTCCTAAACAGAAGGGAAAGATCTTTCTTTCAGGAGACTTCAATCCCATACAATGTTTGTGGAGCAGAGACCAAAGCATGGAAACACATGGCGGGACAGTCTAAACATTTTATGCTTAATGCTGCTCCCTTTTCCTTTGTACATAACGTAAACCAGCATTCAAGAAGGGCCCAGGGGAAAAGAGGTAGTCAGCAGGCTAGCAGCTGGGCTGCATGCTGTCGTCCCCAGTACATGATAAACTGGTACGTGGAGAAGACTTCCCACATAGCTCAAAGGCAAAGAATTCAAGCATCGTTCCACAATTTGGTCTTAAACAACCCCATAGCTACGGCTGCTATACATTTACATCTCTATTTTTTCCTTATATCCTCTCTTCTTTCTCTGTCCCACAGACTGAAGATCAACTCTTCTCAACTCCTTTCATTACTGGTTTCCCCAAAGAAAAATCCCAGCATCCAGTGGGATAGCTTTCCTAGTTCCCTGCCTCATCTTCTAATGTATAGAATACTGCGTCCTGCTTTGTACCCAACAGTCACTTGCAGAGCTGCACAAACACCAAACCTGGGCTGTCAAGTCCTCAAAACCCACTACACAGATGCACATCTACTTCCTGCGACCTGGAATACTAGGTTTTGTCCTTTCTGATATATGTCTACCAAGCTAATGCAGGTAGCATTAGCCACCTACTACTCTTAGAGATCCAACTCATGTATCTGTATCTTTTTGCTGGTGCCTAGCCTATCCATGCACTACTCCTTGGCAAACTGAAACACCTACCCTCTGCACCCTAATCCCAAACCATTCACGGGCCTTTATATGTTGTGTTTTGCTCACTGGTACTTGGCATGAAGATGCTCAGGGTGTCATAGGTCAGGAATCTGGTACCTCTGATCCTAAATTCCCTGCTGTCTGATTCTGTTAGTATAGACACCAGCTAAAGATCAGGAGACTTTAGGCACTGAATTCAATCCTGTTATAAGACAGGACAGACTGTGTCACTATTAGTGAGCTGTATCAGTTGAATCCAAGGGATGAATTTGCCCCTGAGAATACATGTACTATTGCAGCTGGTGTTACTCACAGCCATACAGGCCCCAATGCAGCAATGCATTTATGAATGTGGACAGCACTAATCCCGACAGCAGTCAACATCATAAGGAAACCAATGAGGCTAGCTATATG